ACATGTCAAGTACAATTCCTGATGAGAAAGTAAGATGCCTTTAGAGTTGATATGAACATGTTCTTCTCTCCTGTGAACTTGTCCTGCTCTTTCATACAGATTCTAACTTGCTATGTACCGTGTTTATATAGGTTGTTATCACCTACGTATCATTTCTGTGTTCGCGGCTTCTAGATCTCCGACAAGAAACTCGAGCTGCTCAATTAATTCAGTCTGCTTGGAGGAATTACAGGCTGAAAAAGGAACTGAAACTTTCTCAGGTACTATGCCAGTGCAATATTCATATTTTCAACTTTGAGAAATACTAAATAAAGAATATAAATTCATTGTTGGTAGTTATACCAGATCTTGTGATGGTTTTAAAACTATGAGACCATTAAGGTTGACCAATGCCACCACTGTGTCTGACTGAGATACATATTAGTCAGCGATAGAACAGTGTTCAAGTGCCATATTCTAAGAATATGTGGTGTAGAATGTGGCAGAGATTATATTTATGTAAGCTTTTTCATCAACAAGATACATATTTCAATATATTAAAAATTAGAGTGAAAATTCCAATCCTAACTGTTCAGTGGAAATTTGGTTTTTGTAGGAAAGAGACAGAGCTGCTCGGATAATTCAAAAATGTGCAATAAACTACTTATCTCGCCAACGCATCCTGAAGAAAGTGAATGCAGCAGTTTTCATCCAGAAGCACTGGAGAAGATACTTAGCTAGGGTGATTTTTTTAAATCTGAAAAAGACAAAACTGGAAGAAGCCAGAAGTAAATCTGCCACTATCATTCAGGTAATATGATCTAAAGTGAGATTATAGAGCAAGGAAACTCTCTGAAACCTGTAAGAAAAAGGCTTGCTCAGGGTAATTTTTTCTGCTTGCAGCGACTGATGACTTAATGAAAATGTAATATCCGCCCCCACCCCCCATTTTGAGATGTTTTATTAACTTTCTCTCTCTTCAGAAATAAATGGCAATGTGCTGTGAAACTGACAATTGGTGAATGTTTTGGTATACCATAAACGTTAAAACACTGAGCCTTAAACTAGTCCGTGTAAGGACTGACTAGATTGTGCTGGCTTGCCTCTTTGCAGCTGCTGAATGTTACTTGAAGAAGCTTTAAAAATAAATAAATAAATAGAAACTACTCCCGTAGCGTTATGATACCTGCGGTGAGCACATTCAGAATGGCAGACATTAATTACAAATTGGTAGTTGGGGAGTTACCTCAGTTTCTCAAGATACTTTATGTAAATATTACATGCTTAAGACTTTTTTTAATGGCAATTAAAGAATCGCTGATTTAGCAAATAGGCTTAACTCAAGATATCATGACAAAAATACTAAATTTTCTGCTTTTTTTCCTGCAGGCTTATTGGAGGAGATACTCTGCTAGGAGAAGATATTTAAAGCTAAGATACTATGTTATCTTTCTACAAGCAAGGATAAGGATGGTGAAGGCTGTTGCTGTGTATAAACGAATTGTTTGGGCTACTGTTACAATTCAGAGTCATCTGCGTGCATCTAAGTTGGCAAAAAAAGACCGTCGAAGATATGAAATCTTAAAGTCTTCAGTACTGGCTATTCAGTCTGCCTTCAGAAGGTGGAAAAAATACAAAATTCAACAGAAAACTAAAGCAGCCTTAGTGCTTCAGATTTATTTTCGAAAATGGCGATCTTCAAAACTGGCTGAAAGAAAGAGGGCTGCTCTTGTCATACAGTCTTGGTACAGGATGCACAGAGATCGGAAGCAGTATCTACATTTTAAGCAAAGTATTACCAAGATTCAGGCTTGGTACAGGAGTCAGCTGACTAGACGTATTTACCAGGACCACAGGGCAAAAATAGTGACAATTCAGCAGTATTACAGAGCTTATAAACTAGCAAAAATTGAAAGAGAGTACTATTTGCAAAAGCGAGCAGCAGTGATAGTTCTCCAAGCTGCTTTTAGAGGCATGAAGGCACGCAAACTATACAGGCAGACAAAAGCAGTTTGTGCTGTTCAATCACTGTGGAGAATGAAGAAAGAGAAACTAAAATTTCTACGATTAAAAAAATCTGTTACTACGTTGCAGTCGCATGTGAGAAAATATCAACAAATGCAAAGTTACAAAAAGATGAAAAATGCTGCTTCTGTAATTCAAACCTGGTACAGAGCACGTGTTGCTTCTAAAAAAGCAGCTGCTTCTTTCCAGAGGATGCGCCTGGCTGCTATTGTCCTGCAATCTGCCTACAGAGGAATGGTAGCTCGGAAACGGGCTCACGTACTGAGATCAGTGATAAAAATTCAGTCCAGTTACCGTGCTTACATTGTCCAGAAGAGATTTAAAAACTTGAAAGCTGCAACAGTGATGATTCAAGCTTTTGTAAAGATGAGGCAAGCATACAAGCATTATCATGCATTGAAGGAGGCAACACTCTATGTCCAGCGAAGGTATCGGTCTCATAGATATGCTCTTCAACTTAAAGAAGATTATAGGAAACTGAAGGGAGCTTGCATAAGAATTCAAGCTGTAGTTCGAGGCTATCTTGTCAGGAAACAAATACAAAGGTGGAAGAAGACTGTAGTATTTCTCCAGGCACACTACAGAATGAGAAGGGACAGGCAACATTATTTAAGCATCTATAGTGCTGCTGTTGTCATTCAAAAACGTTATCATGCATACAAAAAGCAACTGTGCCAGAGGCAGAAGTTCTTACAAGTTAAAAAAGCATCTGTGTGCTTACAGGCAGCCTACAGGGGTTATAAAGCACGCAAAAAGCTTAAACTTGAATGTAGAGCTGCTATTAAAATTCAGACTGCTTTTAGAGCTCATGCTGCAAGAAGGAAATACAAGGCAATGGTTCAGGCCTCCGTTGTGGTTCAGAGGCGGTACAGAGCTTATAAGACTGGTAACAGGCAAAGACTGAACTTCTTAATGACAAGAGAGGCAGTGCGTTCTTTGCAAGCAGCTTTTCGTGGCTGGAAGGTACGAAAGCAGATTCAAAGACAAGGTGTCGCTGCTACTAAGATACAGTCTGCCTTCAGAAAATTCATGGCTCTGAAAAAATTCAGACTTGTGAAGCATGCTGCACTAATTATCCAAAAGCATTACAGAGCCAGTGTTATAGGCCAGAAACAACGGCAAGAATATATTCAGCTGCGTAATGCTGTAGTGCATCTTCAGGCAATATGGAGGGGGAAAACTGTGAGAAAAACAATTCAAAAGAAACATCATCTTGCAACAATTATTCAGTCCTATTACAGAATGCATGTGAATCAACTAAAATATAAGAAACTAAGAGAAGCCACTCTAGTGATTCAGAAATACTTTAGAGCTTACTGTATGAAAAAAAACCAATGTGCAATTTATCTAAAAACAAAGGCAGCTGTGCTCATCTTGCAGTCTGCCTACCGTGGGATGACTGTGAGGAGACAACTGAGCAAACGAAACAGAGCTGCGACAACTCTACAAGCTGCCTTCAAATCTTACCTGGTCAAAAAGGACTACGAAAGACTTAGATCTGCCGCTATAGTAGTTCAAAGGCATTATCGTGCATTTATTCATGGTAAATGTCAAAAGCAGAAATATTTGTCTTTAAAAAAAGCCACAATCAAAATGCAGGCAACTTATAGAGGTGTAAGAGTTAGACGTCAAATTCACTGTATGCATCAAGCAGCTATTTGTATCCAAGCCACATTTAAGATGCATCACATGAACATAAAGTATCAGGCAATCAGAATGGCAGCAATTATAATTCAAAGGCAATATAGAGCATTTTGTTTAGGCAGAGTGCAACGTAAAAAGTACTTGCAGCTAAAGAAGTCTGTCATTATCCTTCAGGCTGCCTATAGAGGCATGAAGGTCCGACAAGAATTAAAAGCTATGCATCAGTCAGCAGCAGTAATACAGTCTTATTATCAAATGCACAAACAACAGAGATATTTCAGAAATTTGTTGCTGGCAACTAGGCGGATTCAGCAGTGGTTTCGCGCTTGTAAGGAGCGAGATATACAAGTTCAGAACTATATGATGATGAAAAGGGCTACGCTTTGTATCCAGGCTGGATTCCGTGGTATGAAAACAAGAAGACTCGTAAGAACCATGAGGGAATCAGCTGAGCTTATTCAAAGAAGATTTAGAACTTTTCTCAAAAGAAAGCATTTTCTTTCCATTAAGACAGCTGCTATCACAATTCAGAGAAAATACAGAGCAACAAAACTAGCAAAAAATCAACGTCAAAAATACCTCTCTCTCCTTAATGCTGCTATTATCATACAGTCTGCATATAGAGGCATTGTGGTAAGAAAAAAAATGCAGCAAATGCATAAAGCGGCTACGATTATTCAAGCAACGTTAAGAATGCGTAAAATTTACACTTCTTATCAAGCTGCCAGGCTTGCCTCAGTAATCATACAGCGACGTTATCGTGCTTACAGGGAAGGGAAGTGTATGAGAGAAATGTACTTAAAACTGTACAATTCTAGTTTGGTTCTTCAGGCTTCCTACAGAGGAATGAAAACAAGATGCTTCTTGAAGAAAAGACATGAGGCAGCACTTATAATACAGAGAAACTACCGAATGTATAGGGAGTACCATCATTACAGAAAAATTCAGTGGGCAACCCAGCTAATACAGAAGAGATACAGAGCCAATAACTTAAGGAAAGTTGCAATGCAGAATTACTCTTCATTAAAGAAAGCAGCAATTTGTATTCAGAGGGCTTTTCGAGACATGCAGGCAAAAAAACAATATAAAGGAATGCACTGTGCTGCTATCGTTATTCAGAAAAATTTTAAAGCTTTTAGAGAACGTCAAAGATATCTCTCTCTCAAAGCAGCTACAATTGTCTTTCAGAGAAGGTACAGGGCTTTGATTCTGTCAAGACAACAGTCCTTGGAGTATCTTTCTCTCTGCAGAGCAACTATTTGTATACAGGCTGTGTACAGAGGTATCAGAGCGCGGAAGAGTATCAAGCACATGCATTTAGCTGCTAGTGTAATACAGTCTGCCTACAAAATGCACAGGAATAGAAGATCCTATCAAAATATGAGAATTGCAGCTATTGTTATACAGAACTACTATCGATCCTACATTGAAGGAAAGATGCAACAAAAGAAGTATCTGACAATGAAGAATTCTGCTCTTGTTATTCAAGCATCATATAGAGGCATGAAGGAACGACAGAAACTGAAAATCATGCATGTTTCAGCAATCCTAATACAGTCTAGTTATCGCACGTATGTACAATGTAGATATCACAAACAGTTGTGCTGGGCTGTCAGAGTTATACAGCAGAAGTTCAGAGCCAAAAGGGCAAAAGAAGCTGACATGGAAAACTACGCAAAACTTAAAAAGGCTGTCATTTGCCTTCAATCCTCTTTTCGTGCTAAAAGAGCTAGGCAGTTGTACAAAACCCACGTTGCTGCACGGTGCATTCAATCATTCTTACGAATGCACGTGTTGAGGAGGCACTTTCTTGAAAAGAGAGCAGCGGCAGTAACTATCCAGTCTATGTTCCGATGCCAAAGAACAAGGACTCGCTATCAACTGATTCGAAGTTCAGCGGTTGCTATTCAGAGGTGGTACAGAGCATGTCACAGGGCCCGTCTACAGAAAGCGGAGTATTCTGCTCAAAGACAAGCAATAGTAATTATTCAGTCTGCCTTTCGTGGTATGAAAGCAAGAAAAATAGCAAGACAAATGCGAGCTGCAAGAAAGATTCAGTCTTTTCTTCAGATGGCTGTGCAGCGTAGAAAATTTGTTCAACTTAGAACAGCAGCTGTTACATTACAAGCCTATTTCCTAATGCATAAAACTAAATCACAGTACAGAAGCTATAAAAAAGCTGCAGTTGTCTTACAACGATGTTACCGATCCCACTTGACTGTGAAATACCAAAGAATGACTTACTTACAGACCCAGAGAAACATTATCATTCTCCAGGCGAGAGTCAGAGGGTTCATAGAAAAGAAGAGGTTTCACAGAATCAAAGAAAGCACAATAAAAATTCAGGTACTTTTGAATATAAAGTAGTGATTTTGGGGTGGGTTTCATTTTTTTTTT